TAGAAACTATGATAGGTGCGGTAATTTTTAACATCTTATTAAACTGGCGAAGATTGATTTATCTGATGAAGTAAAGAAGAGAATCAAAGTTAAGATAGTCTCGCGTAAGTTAAGATGCACTGTCTCTTTCTCCTTCTTATATTCATGTCTATAATCAAAGAAGAAATATTCTCCATACAATGGTGATTTTAACAACCGTCAAGGGTCGTCATAGATCTCTCTAGTTTTTGTGATACAATCGTCAGAAAGCTGCCATTTTTCATCACGTGATACCAATGGAATGCAATTGAACTTTGCAATTATTGCTCAAAGGTCAACCGTGTCCTACCTCCTCTGCTCAAGTTAAAACCAGTGACAGTGGAATTCAAACCAGTGACAGTGGACTTCAAACTAGTGACAGTGGGGGTGATAGTTGGGTTCAAAGCAGTGACAGTGGGCTTGGAGCCAGTTGTAGTTGGCTTTTTCAAACCAATGCCAGTCAGTGGCGTAGCCAGGGGCGGGCCTGGGCGGGCAAGGCCTGTCACAGAAAAATCTGTCCCACCCAAATTTTGTCCCATGAGACAAAATATTTTATCCTAGGACAAAATTTTTCAGAAATATTTTGTCCTAGGCAAGCTTTTATTGTCCCACCATAGGACTAATTTTTTGTCCTAGGACAAAATAATATATGAAATATTTTTGTCCTAGGACAAATTGTATCTGAAATATTTTATCCTAGGATCATAATATTATGCATATATAGACTATTTTGATAAGGAAAATTTACTTAGCACTCAGTATTAATAATAATAATAATAATAATAATACATTTCATTATCGCACAATAATTGTCTTCATGCAACTTTTACAACAATTACATGACCAAACATAGTCCTTATCAGTCCAAACATCTTCTGGTATTTGTTCACACTCTACGTGATACCACTCCTTACATTGAGAACATTTTACCATTCTTCCTTCATTACTATAGGTTGTCTGCACAGGCAGTATATAGGTAACCTGTATTCTTTGGATAGTCCAGGGCATCTAGCTCTTAAACAAGTAGAAAACAAAGACATCACATTCTTTTCTAAGCATTATAAAAGATGGAAACGAAGCTTATGTGAAATATAGCTGCAAGAAGTTGGGTCTTAACCAGCACAAATTGACACTGCTAAAGCAAGGGCACATAAACCACAATCTTATTGTCCATTTTGCCTTAATTTGCATACTAGGAACAGTCACTTTAATTCCCTGTACTCGGTGCATTTCAGTATTGCTGCTATCTGCTCCCTGGTACGTTTATCAATACCATCACTGGGCAAGCTATCATATATCAGTTTGTTATAATTAATGCTTTGATTTAATTATTCAAATCATGAATACAGATGCATATACATACTGAGTTTGTCTACAAAAGCACAGATATCATACTACGTACATACATATATACACATAACTAACTAAACTATTTAAAATACACAAAACACCTACACTATCATGATATAGTTGACCATTCAGTCATCTTGGTCTGGTAATACAGCGGTTCAGCCCAAACGCAACCGTCAATAACCGGAAGCAGTTTCCTTGCAGCGGAAATAGGTGTGAGTCATGAAAATGGCTGCTAATGAGGGAATTGGAGTATCACGAATTTATCTGCAATGTAGAGTACAAGGAGCAAAGTAAACTAGTTATTACTATGTCAGATTCGTATTTTTTTGTAAAATCAACCTTTTGAAGATGTAAATCGTGCGTTTCAGTAAATGGACAGTTGCAGTGCAATTGAATATTGGTAGATATAAAATATGCATACATTTTGGAGCCTGAATTAATCATATTAAACTCAAAAGACAGGTTTGTGCTTAAATTGAAGAAAAATTATTTACAACCAACCCCACCAATATAACAATTAGTGTCTTTATAATTTCTTTTTTTAGTTTTCCTTTCTTGTACTTACATCCATGCATCACTGAATTGGTCCTGTGACTGTCTTTTACTGTATTTCCATCATTCAGGATCCGCCCACTCTCATTATTACTTATTGTATACACAGTATTTATTGAAGAAGGGTTTCTCATTGGAGGACAGTGATAAATAGTATATCATATAGGAGTCCCATTAACCACCTAGAGAGCAATTCATTGCTTGCCAGTTAATTCATGTTAGACTAACTCGACTGTTTTATATTTTGATATATAAATTACAACATTCTTAAGACACTAGTTGTGAAAATGCAATATGTTATGGAGCACAACTTTTTATATTTATAACACAAGTATTGCAATTGTAGCATTCAAAAGACAGGATTGTTCTAGCTTTAAAAATGATCCACAAACAGCTGTACCTATCATAGATATCTTCTCACTGACCTTGAACTACTAGAGGCTGAGCCACGGTAAGATGTCCACTGTAATTGTATTCATTTTTACAACATGTGTGCTTCATTATTAATTCATAGCATCATGAGTAAATTTTATATTCTTTTTTAAAGATTATTTTGTCATAAATAAGCAAATCGCCATTACAAAAGTGCGTGGGCGGTCCTCTGCAAGTAAAACTCCCCTTTCTAAAAGGAATTTTTGACTGTTGCGTTTGGGCTGGGTTCCCCATTTTGCACTGAAAACAAACTTTTCAGCTCTTTTCCATATCTGCCTCTTTCTGTTAGCACTACAACCTTCTGGACACTTTCTATCAGCTAAATACACAGCTGCCTTCTCCACAAGATCATCCTCTTAATTCTTTCCTGGGTTCTTTACTCGGTTCTTGACACAGTCTGTCATCCTTCTTCGATCTGAAATCTTCTACGTACTTTGAATGTATAATAAAGGGTTCCACATGCTTTGTACTTGGATTCCATAGATTAATAATTAAGGAACAAAGTCGAATACAAAGATTTACAGTTCCTTTACACTTTTCTTTTGGTAGGACAAAAAATTGCTAACGCGGACATAAAATATCACGTGATATTTCTATCCTAGGATAAATTTTCACGGGGGACAATTTTTTCGTGACAGGCCCACCCTAAATTTATCAGTACACCATAAAATGGCTGTTATTGATAGAGAAAAAAAGAGCTTTGAGCACACAAGTCCAAAAAATAAGCCATAGTGCCCACCCTCACTTCATCAGCTGGCTACGCCTCTGATGCCAGTGGGGGTGATAGTTGGAAAGCTGGCCTAAATAAGACTGGAGTATCCTAGACATGCAAAAGGTTCTTGATCAACATGCTGTTTCTACTGGGACTTCCTTTGGCACAAAAACTTCAAAAGTGAATAATATATTTAATAGCTTGGGCACAAGCAGCACTGATAATGCTGATGAGGAACTTATGGTACATCATCTTGATTTTATTAAGAAAACTATGATTGTGAGATATTGTATAGTTTGTGTGATTATTATTCATGCATTGCCAATAATTATTGATATGATTAAATATTCATGATTCTGTGTACTATAAATAGTGTCATTTTTGTAAGGAGCGATAGAGAGTAATTATATTATTTGAAAAGAGAATCTTGACTGTGAATTGTTTATCGTGAACGAGCCGTTGGAGGGACGAAGCAATCTCAGGGAACCAGACTCTCTCACATGGTCAAACCGAGTCGGATACTGTCTAGCGATACTGAAGAGACAGAGCTTAAAGCCCGGACGAACTGGATTGCTTCGAGTTCGAGCTGCGTAACTTATTTAGCACTCTTAGTCGCTGTTGTGATAGTACTTGGTGGTGCTCAGATAAGGAGTGTGAGTTGCCTTAAAGTCAGGGGCGTATCTAAGGGTGGGCCTGGGTGGGCCTGTGCCCGACCAACTCAGCAGACCAAAAAATTTTTTTCTTTTGTATACTTTAGTCCTTTTAAAAATATTGCTCACTTTATTATGATAGCAATGAGACAAGACTAGTATAGCTAATAGTTTTAGCCAGTGTAAATATAATGATGACATGGTAGAGGCTTCCATAGCTCCATTTGGGCAATTGGGCTGCCATTTTTTAAATAATAACTACTACTAACCAATCAGTTATTAGACTATTCACATTAATTATTAAAGTAATCGAGTTGAAAATGGCTAAGAAACTCTGCTGAGTCTGTTTGAATGTCTTCCCAAGGCCAGTACTACTACTAATGAAGAAAATATAAGCACTGAAGTGCACATCTTAGCTTAATTAAAGTAATAATCGTAGTATTTAATTGACCACGCCCATCATGAATATTAATTAGCTCTAAAATAATTTCGCGGCGCGCGAAGCGCGCCGCATATTTTTTCTCTGTGCCCACCCAACTCTCAGAACTTAGATACGCCCCTGAGTAAAAGTAAGTTTTCATCAATCCTAACTGCTGATGGTGCTTTTTTATGCAGCAGTATTGACTGCAGCAACCTGCAATGAAAAAGATTAGTTGAAATGAATGAATTTGCAAAAATAGTTTTCAGCTTGCTCGTTGCAAACCTGATAGTTTATATGCAGGACTTACTCAAGCACTATGCACAGCACAAGAGATGCAAAACAAAGCCACGCCCCACAAAGCACTGACCCAAATTCATACCTTCAAGTTGTACAGTACAGGAAACAAATTTTAACGAGTGCATCTGTGCTGCTCAGGCTCAGTCTTATCCTTTATCTCAGCACAAACAAAAAGTACTGACTACTGCCCTTAGTAGCCTGCTACTTTGTAAACTAGACCATAGATATACGACTGTTATATATCTATGACTAAACTACAGCCACTTCCACTTATATCATAGATATTAAATGACAGGGATTGGAAACGGAAGCGTGGGCGTAGCCCAACCTCCATTCATTTGTATTGCTGCTAGGCTGACAGAGGCTCGTTGAAATTTTTTGTCACAATTTACCCTTGATTTTTTTTCTCTTAGAAACAATATCTCGCGAACAAGTGTTCCTATGCAAGTGAAATTAATGCATCAAGAAGCCTAATGTTTCCTCTTAATAATTCTGTTTTCTATTGTATAGATAATTTTACTATGTTCATGTTATGGCTCTTTTAAAACCATAAAATGTATTTTTTGTCATTATAATCCCTTTTTTGAAAACAAGCTAGAGTAAGATACAAGATCTTTATAATCATATAAAAGAGCTTTCATTTGCATATGGAATGATACTAGTTAGAGTTAGAATCCATGAAGCATGAGTTTGTTACTACAGAAAAAGGGCGAAAAATGAAAAAATTTTGTTGTACCTATAACTCGTTGCAAAATAGCGTTGTAGAAGTAAAAACCTTGCTGCAGGTAGTCCAACACTTTCTATATGGAACGGTAGGTATATCATAAGTAAGCGTCCTCTTGGATTTCCATAAATATCCTTCGAAGTCCTTGCAGCACAGCCTCACTAATGGAGGAGATGGGAAATCAACCAGGTATTGGGCCGGTAACCAATAGCAACATCAACTAGCCTACGCCCCCGTTTCCAATCCCTTTCATTTACTCTATTATCTATGCTTATATACAACCTGCAAGCCCCTCCTTCCGGCGTGGGCGGTACATGTGCATCATGATATTTTTTTAATAATGATATTTTTTAATAATTATTATTTATAATTATAATAAACAATAATAATAAATAAATCATTATTATTATTATAAATTAGTCATGAGAGCTAGGAACAGACACATTAATTACAATAAACTCTACCGGTACACAAACTACATCACTGTCCATTATTCCATTGCATTATAATAAAGCAAAGATTTACAACTAGCCAAAATCAAAATGCTGACTAGTCGATCCACTGTAAATCAATCACTTCATTATAACACAGCAAGATGATGAACAGTGATTTAGCTATGTAGTCAGTAGTGCAATCATAATAACTGGTCTAGGCTCTCAATGTCGTCGTTAAACTCATCGGTTCGTCATCAGCTCCAGCTCCTCCATCTTCCAAAAATCCTAACTCATTTTCTCCAGGGTCTGGTCCATCGGGCTTCCTTGCTACTGTTGGTGAAGTAGAAAGGGCTTGATGCAATGAGTCATAGCCTTCATCACCTTCACCGTAATTTCCCCTCTCTCTCTCCTGAGCTTCAGTAGAGCCTGTTGGTACTATTGAAGACAAGATCCTAGCGATCATCAAAAAGTGAGAATAGATTCCTGTTTTTGATGAAATGTGCTCAATGCATTCTTCCAGTGACATCTAGGAGAGAGATTATAATTCTTTTATTATTCTTAATAATTGCTTTATTTACCTCCTTTGTTTCCTTACATCCATGATCTTTAAGGGGACATGTGACAATGCACTTGTGATTATCAGGCTATAAGAGAAAGCGCGAATTCATAGTTAAATACAACATAATAATTAACAGACAATAATGATTAATGTTTTAAATTAGTTTCTATAATTTATGGCATCTTCTTATTATACTACTACATCCTACCATACTAAAGCTACACGTAGCTTGTTAAAGGCCATTGAGGGGTGCAGTTTAAACGAGAGTGTGGCACTGTGCCAGGTCTAGTCAGCACTAACCTCTGATGATAGAATATTTGAATTGCAATGAGGGCAAAATGTGACTGTAAGTGATCCAGCTGGTGACAAGTCAGTGACAGTGAGATCGTCACGACCGTGACCCTGACCCTGCTCTTCATCGTAGTATTGCTGTGGAAGCAAAGATCAGAAGATCAGAAATGCATTCACACATACTGAAGGTCCAAGTGCATTTTCCTTTGCTGACAGAGTGTAATAAAATTCATTCTCCAAACGTCTCTAAAATAAAAAAGGAGATTAAAAATATACCAAGAGTAGATAATGTAGGGAGAGTATCTAACTGTACTATGCTAGCTGTTGAAACAGCTTGTACTGTATTAAAGTCAAAAACCATTAATTCTCTGTATACTCCACTCCAATCATCAAGTTTTGTCTTAACTGCTTATATAATTGCACCTATACGGGTGTGGTTAGGATGGGGCAATGATTGCCCAATTCACTATCTTTGTGTAAGCGTGGTATTAGAGCAGGCTGCATCTGCTGAAGATAGCATTTGCCTGATGCATATTGAACTTAAAAAATGGAATGGCTTTGTAGTGGCCAAGTGTGAGGCTGATGGTGGGCAAGTCTACAAGCTAACCCACCCATGTAGGTGCCACATGCCTATAATAATTAGTTTATATAAATCAGTTAACACAAAACTTGATGATTGGAGTATACAGAGAATTAACGGTTTTTGACTTTACAAGCTGTTTCAACAGCTAGCATAGTACAGTTAGATACTCTCCCTACATTATCTACTCTTGTATATACTGTATATAGCTACAAATCTC